TGTGCCTTTTTCTGTCTCTTATTTCTTGTTATTTTCGGCCTGGTCCCTTGTTGTCCTGGCTCTTTTTACTTCATTTTCTCTTTCCTTACTGTTTTCCTTTATTTTCTTCTCTTTTTCTCTTTTTCTCTTGTCTCTCTTTTTCTGTGCCAGATGGCCTTGTTTCTGCTTGCGTTGTGAAGTACCAAGATTGAACCAATGGGGTGTACCTCATTCTCTCCGGCCCGTGATGGTGACTCCTAGTCTCAGTTGTTACCTCGCATAGCGCGCAGAGGGAGTGGAGGACTCCAGAATATCTGTCGTNGGGAATCGACCGCGTCGAGTGTTGTACCAGTACGGACATACGAAGGTACTGGGTAGAGAGAGATCGGAACGGTTTTTAATGTGAAGACAACAACAACAACAACAACAACAACAGCAACAATCCCTTCGAAACGCCACCCACAGCCGCAGGAGACGTTGCGTTGCTGAGGACGCGCATGCGTCCAGATGCAGGCAAGCGATCTCTCGTCTATGAGGTAACGATCAACCCGAATGTGATATGGGAGGCGGACGGGCTGACCCTTCGGGCACCTGAGGGGATTGTTGCTTGTATTCGCTGGGGATTAAATAATAGCGTTTAGGATATAGGGGGATCGTGACAACAGACCAAGCATAAAGCGTTTTCACCGGGAAAAGCTTGCCAGGCATTAGACTATGTGCCTAGAGATTCATTGGGTTCCTCACCGACCACGCCGACCGCTTCTTGCCGTCTCCCCGCTCGTGATTGTGTTGTATGCCTTCGACACGGAATCTTACGTAAGCTGTTGACGTACCGCCCGGATTGCACATTGGTCGAGGTGAAATCACACACGATCGGCGGTGCGGTCTACTAGTCTATACTGCTGTATGCTACAATATGGCCTATGCGTACAAAGTTTTGATTTGTTGATACAGATACGCCGGATTTCGCTCGCTGTGGATGGTTCACGCAACGCCTCGATGGCTCGTCCGTAGCTTTCGCGAGGGAGCAGTTCATGCCGGTGGCGACGGTTCAAAAGAGTTCCGTCGTCGAGCTCGCTTCGACCAAATAGCTTCAACACATGTCAGGAAAGCCCCACGCAAGCTTCAACCCCAAGAGCCCCCGCTTCAGCGCCTACATCTTGAAGACGTGCAGTGCGTCGTGACCGCTCATTACATTCGGAGCAGATGTATACGCCCCGGTGGTCTAGTGGTATTCTCGTAATTTTTTTCTCGCAGAGGTCGTAAATTCGAACCCCCATGGGGTGAAAAATTTACGGAATGTGCGGGTGAAAGCGAAATATAGCTGACAAGCTCTCGTGAGTACCAAACTTCGACGTTACAGGAGCACCGTTGACAAGGGAAAGGGACGGCTGGACCCTTCTCGCGATAGAAATAAAATTCAGCACGCACCGCAGGAGGAAGGTGGGGCATGAAAAGAAATAAAAACAAGAAAAAGGCCCTGGTGTTTACCCCCTCCTGTGTGACCCTCGATGTTGAAATTGTACGAAAAAATACACTGAAAAGTGCAGTACTCTACATACATACGCTGAAGAGTGTAGTACACGTCTCACCACGAAAAATGGGAGGACTGTCGCCATAATAAAAAGGACGAAAACACACACACATAAAGTGTTCGCAAAAAAATAAAATATTCATACTTATCGCCCGACATAAACACAGCCTACAGCCTCTCCTACCTGGTACGTTCCAGTGCATACTGTCGCCCCGGTGGTCTAGTTGGTAACCTCGAAACCTTCTAGAGGTCAGGTCAGGGGTTCGAATCCCGGCGTAAGCGAGCTTTTCTTGCAAAGTGAGTTTTTCTCTCGCTTCCGCTCCTGGCCTAGTGGATAGCGCTAGTTCGTGTGTACACAGAGGGAAGAGAGTGCTGAACTCTTCTCGCATTAAAAATCGAAGGCAAAGTACCGCAGGCGGGAAGGGTAGAGAGGAGCTCTTCTGTGTGACCACGGGTTGGAGTAAACGGCAATAGTGCCGTGAGCGCTGATTTGAAGTGAAGATAAAAAAAAAAACTCTCCTCCGGTCTCAACTAGTTGTTCGTTTCGAGAAGCAACACTCGATCAACAAAATCATTCAAGCCTTTGACTGTCACCACCCACCGCCGAAAGAGAAACTATATATCTAAGCCTACGATGAAAGTCGTCTGCACCTGTGTTTGCATGGATCGCGCCTGGGTCGGCGGTAAGACAAGAACCGTTGCTGTGCATGGCACGCCCAACGCATGACTTCCTCTGATCCACCCTACACATGTATACGGTGAAGCTACGCCCGCATTTACAAACGATATCTACATCCGGAGCTACATCATCAACCAGCCTAGCAATATTTACGGAAGTCGCTCCCATTCCCTGAAACGTCGAGAAAGCGAGCGCGGTGGGTAACACGAATCGATGTACCGCAAACACATACGCTTCGAAGTTATTGGTTCAAAAAGCGCCTAGTGACAAATAACCCCCAGAACAATCTGTTCCCTACTGTTCCCCTGTCGAGCATCTTTACCAGTGATCTGCACTCTCGACTACCCTATCCTTACACGTACAAGCACCGTCAATCATGTCTCTATGCCGTCGGTGGTCTCAACGCCGCTGGGCGATGTGTATTTTTGGCGGAAAGACGACCATACAACTGCACTCAACGGCAGAGCCTCGAAAAGTGCTTCGTTAACCCGCAACCCACTTGAACTACTGTGCTATCTTCTCCAACAACGCTACGAAGGCAATGAAACACTCCAACAAACAACAGCAACACAACATGCGCTGGGCGGACTTGGTATCCTCGACGCCTCACGCAGTGCTGCAAGCTAGAATCATGCATCAGAGGGACAAAAAACACGCTTCACACTCGGTGGTCGAATACGGCTTCGACTGATTCCGTGAAAACTCCCACAACACAAAGGGCACACGTACCCGTGAACGGAAGGCCTTCGAATGCAGGCAAGAGCGCCAGCTCGATACCCTTCTTGGCTGTAGACAAATGTCGACTAAAATACTGTAATAACTTCCCCCGATTTTGCATCCTTACAGTCCTCAACGCGCGCCACCGGAGGGTACCCAAGCGAAGTAGCCGGGTTGAAATTCTCGCCCGATGGAGTCAAAGTTGAAGTTCCCGGTCTGTACAAGCGCCATTTCTGCCTTTTGGAACTCAACCCGGAGGGGCAAACACCGGGTAAAATGTCAGGTCCACGCCAACTACTGCACGGATTGGGAGTTTGATTGAACGCCGGCGGTTCACACAGTCATACGCACTCCCAATCAGCCAACCATGTGCGAATGAAGCCTCCATGGGCGGGATAACTCCTGGGGAAGGTAGCCTAACTCGAACGTAATGTAGGTTATGAGGCTGGCACAGCACGCTTGGTTACTCGCCCCTACGTCTCTTTTTTGCGCTCCCGGTGATCCACCCGAACCACCCAGCGCCTCCTTTCCCGCGACCTTTGTCGTCCGCATCATCGTCCTCTTCCTCGCCCCCCTCCTCGTCCTCATTGTCGCCACTCCCCTCCTGTTCCTCGTCGCGATTGCCCTGTTGTTCCTCATCGTCGTTGCCCTCCAGTCCCTGGTCTTCACCGCCCTCCATCGGTTGACCGCTGCTGTCACCCCTCCCCACCCCGCTTGCCGTTCCCGTTCCGTTATCTTCCTCCCCGTCGTTCATCGCATACTGAGACCCTCCTCCTTTCGGCCCCGCGCCCCCCCCGACGGGAGAAATCGGACGAACTCCGATGGCGGTAACCCTACGCCTGTTGGCGGGGGCCCGTGCCCGTGCAGTCGCCGCCGCTGCCTCCGCCAGCGCTGCCCTTGCCTCCCCCAGCTCTGTCTTAATCTTCTCCTTCTCGATTGTGCAACTCTTCAGCTCCGCGAAAGTCTTGTAGGTGATGGCGGCGAACAGACAACCACGAGCAACCGGGGGCCGCAATTAATCACCAAAACCACACAAGAGCACATGCTAGCGTATCACAAGGGCACATCGTAATACCGTCGGAAGACGTCTCCCGGGGGGTGCATTGGCGTCGTCGTTGGGAATGAACACCCTGGCACGTTTTCAGAGGTACTGTAGAGGAGAGCAACCTTTCTAAAAACAAACCAAAAAAGCAATGAGGCGAAGGTCGTCTTCGTCTATCTTTGGAGTGAAAGCACTCACTTTTTGTCACAGTTGTCTCGCTATTCTCGATAATGATTTGTACATGCTTCGTGTTGAACACCGTGCGGTGTTTCGCGTGTTTTCCTGACTTGGCACGGAATAAAATGCGGGGCGATAAAATTCTCTGCGGACACCCCACGGGGCTGCCAGACAATCAGGGAAAACAGTGAGGCGCACTCAGACACACAGGCGCAAGAAGAGGACAAACGACAAAAAAAAAAAAAATGGCGGGGTTGCAAACAAAGGCGTGAATCAGCAAGGACAGCAACCAGATACCGGCAAACACACCAAAGCACACCACGCCGGGAAGAAACCTGCCTCTGCTCACGTTAACCCTTCGGCAGAGAACACACCTCCACAACCGCAGTACTCCCGTACAGAGCAAGACGGCTGCAGCGCGTGAAAGGGGTGGTCGATACCCCACCAAAACAACCCGACGCGTTCAAAAATGCTCGGCCATTGGAGCACTGAACATTCCGTCGGCCGAGAAAAAAAAAAAAAAAGTTTCCGAGCCTCACGACGCCCCCGGCATGCCCACATGGTCTACCGCGTGCATCAATCGCTGTCCAACCAGTCAGGTCGGGCTTTGTAGCACAAAGCACAACCAAACGAGCATGACTCATGTGCTTATCTTGGGACGAAAGACCCACCAACGTAAAAAACGCGCACCAAGCCACTATACCAAAGCATCTTTCGTCCCTGGCGCTCAAACGGTTGGTTGAGAGTGCATGCTTCAACACTGTGGATTCCAGCGAAGCTTGGGTCCAGCGAAGCTGGTTGTCATGTCGAAAATCTTACCATGCAGGATTATCTCGCTTGCTCAATTCTTAGCAAAGGAAAGTATCAAGGATGCTTCGTCGAAATTCAAACGTAGCTACTTGACTTTTTGCTCTTTTGGGCGTGCAATACGCTCCTCCACTCCCACTTAGGACACTTCGCCCCGATATATCTAGCGGAAGGGTTTTCGCGTGAACTCCGCCCTTCACCTCCTGGGACACCCTAACACGAATCCCCCCGCCCTACGGTAACGACGATCCCACACACCCGTCTCCCGATGGTGAACTCCCGTGCCCCCACCTTTTCGGCCGTTTCGATCGCCTCTCGTTCGTTCTTCTTCGCGTCTTTTATCTCTTTCTTCACGTCTTCCATCTCTTTCTTCAAGTCTTCTATCTCTTTCGCGTGGGCCAACTCCAGCTTTTCGCGGCATTCTTCGTGGGCCTTCGGGGGCGAAACGACAGAGGGAAGAGTGCAAGGCGGGAGACGCGGCGGGAGGTGAACAGGACGAAAGCAGTCCACGATGGTTCTTACTAAGCCAGAGAAAACGCCACGCAATGGGTGTCTTCGGACGTCAACAACGCCCGAACAGTCCCACATGTCATGTAACGATGCACACAAGAAGCATAAAGGTTGCAAAGACTTCCTCTCATGCTCATTCCACGTTGACCCTTGGTTGCAGGAAGAGAGCGTTGTGCACGCACGGTACGATCGTGGTCTATTCTTGGTGCAACGCGGAACGGCCGGTGTCGACAAGCAATGGGTACACCCACAATCTCGAAACGACCGACAGCTGCCCATCTGCCCTTGCCTCATGCCATACTTCTTCATTTCGAGCCTAAGCAACGTTTAAAACTACCACGAGAGTGGATGTAAAGGTTCAGACGGTACGAGCAACGTCACGCGTGAGCACCCACAACGCTGACCAAAACCAGTACCCAAGCACTCGCCTTCGTGAGCCTGGTGGAGGCGAATCGAGCGCCGACCGAAGGATTGGGATTGGGGATGGACGTACGGACGAGCACAACGTTGGGCAAAAGGACGAACGAGGTGGTGATACCGTGACTGAAATCAGCAAGGGAAATGCGGCTGTCGACAGCTCCGACACACAAACGGTCAACCGTGGAACTCTCGCAGAATTCTCCGACTGCGGAAACAAGTACTTCGGTGGGAATACAAAAACCGGTGCACGCAAACCGAAGTAAGTCCAGGTGACGGCGAGGCGGGAAAGGTGGGCTGGAAAACACACAGCCGATCAAAGTGGCTAGTCGAAGATTTGATAATATGTAGACTGCTGTATCTTTATTTCGCAAGAGACATTTGGCCGTTGATGATCCCAAAACGTGTGGACTACAAAGGGAAAGCCGCAAGGAGATGATCATGTGCAACTTCCCGCCAAATCATGAAATGAAAACGGTGAAGCCACAAAAAACGGCACTTCGCGCGGCCGGCGCTTGGTGCATCCAAACTGGTCAGCGTAGGCGTTTTATCATCGTTGAGTTGTTGCATCATTCAGCAGTCGGCGCCCAGAGACAGGATACTGTACGTCAATTCGGGTAGAGGCTCTTAATATTTATGGTTCATTGCCCACGTCGAGAGCAGGTTGCTAAAAAAGCCTTAGGGCAGGATCCATCGGTCAGCGGTGTGTCTACAGCAGTACATTTATGCACACACATGGAGCTATTTTTCATATTTTTTGGGGACAATCGAAGCCAATGTTTCAGAACTGGCATCCTGTCATGCTGTACGAGGTGTGTGGGTACTGCCGAAGTAGTTGCGGGGCAATCAATCGGGCTGCGAGGGCCGGTCGAGGGTGTGTGCGGTAACTTTCGCGTGTCGCTTGTTGCAGGTGCACCTACACAAATTTCGCGTGTAGACACATTGGAGTCAATCGCCCCGACTGCGACGGGCGCAGCAACCAGGATAATACACCGCCAAGCGAAGCGGACGCCCGGGTGACGATACAACACGTAGCATTGCCCGTGATGGAGCTGGGGATGGAAAGGCCCTGATGGATCAGTGTTTGATGGCGCCCCCCTCCGGAGTATGGCTCAATCCCAAGCAGCGGATGACGAAGCGAGAAGAGAAGCGGCGCCCGAGTTGGCGTTGCCCACCAGGGATTCGGAGAATATCAGACTAGACGGAATATGCGTGGCTGACCTGGGGCCTACCGAGATCGACGACAAGAAGGAGGAGAATCTCAAGGGTGTTCTACGCGTTGCAAATGACACCAGTACAAACCATAGGGATCAACTCTGGTTGCAGACTCGGCGTACACCCAGCGTTTGGTTGAATTCTTTCTGTTGTTGCAAACACGACAGATTCACCTCTATCCACCGTTGTAAATAAAGTCAAGGATAAATTGACGACGAATTCATGGCATGACGACAACGACCAACCTGTGGTTCTACGGTTCCCGAGCAGCATAGTCTATGGGTCTACAGCTCTATCTCCCTGGGTAGCATGTTATTTACATAATGGAATTGGGGTTGGGGTACTGCTGTTCACCGCGGTGGACAACGTGACGCCACGCGGCGTGAGAGAAACAACAGACCTCGTTGATGGATCGATCCATGGAGCGGCGAACCCCGATATGTAAAGCGGCGGCATTGTTGTCGGGTATGGCTTCGCACGAAAACGCTAGCAAAGGCGAAGGTGAACTGCTGTACTGCTGTCGGACACAGCCTCTCTCTCTACCGAACGTGTCATGATTCTCTTCTACCTGGCGTTCTCGCTCAGAGCCGAAGCGAGTTCGCGCTTGACTGTCTTGTTCTCCTTGCCGAGGGTCGACATTTGCATCACGGCGCCGACAAGCTCATCCTCAATCCCATGCACGAAAACGCTAGCAGAGGCGTAGGTGAACTGCTGTACTGCTGTCGGACACAGCCTCTCTCTCTACCGAACGTGTCATGATTCTCTTCTACCTGGCGTTCTCGCTCAGAGCCGAAGCGAGTTCGCGCTTGACTGTCTTGTTCTCCTTGCCGAGGGTCGACATTTGCATCACGGCGCCGACAAGCTCATCCTCAATCCCATGCACGAAAACGCTAGCAGAGGCGTAGGTGAACTGCTGTACTGCTGTCGGACACAGCCTCTCTCTCTACCGAACGTGTCATGATTCTCTTCTACCTGGCGTTCTCGCTCAGAGCCGAAGCGAGTTCGCGTTTGACTGTCTTGTTCTCCTTGCCCAGGGTCGACATTTGCATCACGGCGCCGACAAGCTCATCCTCAATCCCACCTCTCCCGCCTCTCATAGCTGCCATGATACTCCAGCCGCACTCTGGCCCCTTCGTTTGTCTCTGTCTTCCCCGCACCCTCTTTCCTTGACACAAACGTGTGAACCTTCCCGAAGCAGTTCTTTGCCAGCGGCGAGCAGCGAAGTTGGCTTCTTGCTCTGACCGTTTCCCGAGGGTAGACTCTCCTCCTCGGGGAATCGCAGTAACTAACCAAGTTCTTCCTTGCCTCTTACGTGCGTGTGAACTGATGAGAGCGGAGGGAGAGAAGGAGAGACGACACACAAGAACACAATGGCCTGCTGTATATGCTGTGTACAATCGTAAATGCCGAAGACTCAACCCACCCATAGCACCACGCACGCACATGTCACACGGCGGAGATGGTCAAGGTGGCCCCGTGCTTGCAGACAAGAGGAGGAGGGGGGTTTCCCTATTTTCCGAAGTTTGAAACGAGCTCACTCACCGAGGGTTGAGCGCTTGTTGACAAGCGAGTAAGACAGACAAACGTAGCCGGATCCGACAGACGCACAACTGCTCTGACATCTCTGCAACATTCTGCGGTAGGCTGACCCGCTGCCAAGGCGAGACATATAAAGAGGAGAAGAACAGGCGTGTAGGACCCACCCACCCACCCACCCACCCCACAGGGGCGCGGGATTCCTTCTCCATCAAGAATCTGTCATCAACCCCTCTGTCTACTCATATTTTACCCGGGAGGATAGGAGGGCGGCTCGGCTTTTTGGCGCGCTCCAAAGGCACACAGACGTCCCGGGAGACAACATATGAGCACCATCAGCAAAGCGGAAGGACAGAGGAAACTCAGCCAAATCCTAAGCTCGAAGCGCAAAGAGGTATGCACATCATTGAATAGAGGGTGGTTGTGTCAAAGTGTTTCGTCTTGTCCTGCTGTGCTCCGCAGGTTTTGCCTCCCACACGCCTGTGTGTTATTTGAGCCGTTTTTCTGTTTTGGAACATCACTGCCGTCTGCCGTGTGGTGTGTACCTCGCCTCGCTTGTCCAGACCCCTTATGCTCACGTGGAAAAACTCTTGTTCGACCACCGTGTGCGGGGGTCGTGCGCGCTTGAACTACAAACGATTCGAACGAACGAGCGCGTGCTACTTACTTGCACACAAGAACTTTACGCCCACCCCACACTCCCCTGTCACCGTGCTTCGTGTTTTTGGCTGTTCGGCCGTGACACCCAGCTTGCCGAGGTCACTTTTGGAACAACCAACACGCGATTGAACGCTTGCTCCCCTCTCTCTCGCGCGCGTTCGCCTGCGCACATTCCTTTCGCTTCTGTGTGTGCCGCACCATCGCGCACTGACTGACCGAATCAGGATCCCGTTGGCTTGCTACGCGCTCAGCGAAACGGAACCCTAAACGAGGTAAGTCACTCCTTCCTTCCATCAACCAAGCATGGCTGGTACGCCATGTGTTTGCGGCATTCCGGACTGGAATTGTGTGTCAATGTCGTAGCTTTGTGTTATTGTTCAGTATCCGAATCGTTCGGAATGAAGACTCTCTCGTCTCTCTGTCCCTCCGTTGCAAGTGCTGCCGTGGTTTCTTGTTGGTGCTCGTTGGTGGGGCGCAAATCGCAACATGATGATGAGGGTAGACAAAGAGGGCACACAAACTTGCATGACGAGTCTGATGACTGGTGATGGAGCACACACGGCGGAGAAGCAATAGCACCAATCAGCATTTCGACGAGAAGTTCCATACCGCCTCAACGAGAAGAAGCATGCGTCGTGCGCGTGCTGGTGCAGTGTTTTGTCCTTGTGGCGTGCACCCAGAGCGGGACCCATAAGCGGCCCTTCTCGTGGATTATCTCCCTCCCGGCTAAACGGCGTCCCGCGAATCATCCCGAACGATTTGTATGTTGGACACATCTTTGGGGAGAGGAATCTGTTTTTGAGCTCTTCCAGAGGGCGCATCTGTAACAGCATGTGCGCAACATCCGAACAGTTTTTGCGCCGTGTTTTGTGCCGCACGGGACAAAAGTGGGATAAAGGTGTTCGGGGGCGCTGGGGCTGGGCTGTTGCTGCTTTTTGGCGCGCCACTGCTTGTGTAGGTGCACGCTTGATGTGTGAACCGTGAACGAAAGGCTGTGGAACATTTTCTGTTTTTTTCCCCAAGACAAACAACTAATTGTCACCGCCTACCGCCGCCCGCGGTGCAAGGTCGGTGCACTACATAGCAAACTATATATATCATGGTTGTCCTTACACAACTTATCCAGGTGTGTGTAAGTCGAAGAGATGTGTTCGAGGTGCATAGACGATGACATCAACAGCAGTCTATGCCGTTACTGTACAGGATGTACATCTGCACTGAAGCTTTCTCAACCGAAACTACTCAACCGCGACAAACTGATATCCATCATGTGTGCATACGCTATCAAGACAAGGCGAACCAGGCGACTACTGCTGTTGTGCGTGCGGTACGGTGTGCATTTTCTAATTTGTACCTCTTGGACATGTAGAGGAGTATGTTTAATCTTCTCTCGTCGTCCCCGGCAGTCATACAAAGTATGTTGCTGTGGGGTGTTATAAGTAGCAGGAGGCCAGGGGGGGGCGCGGAGTTCCTGTGTTCGAGACATACATCGAAGAATCCAAACATTCAACATTCAAACTGCTCTACTTGCACATGCTATCGTTGCCGTCTACCCGAACCCCATGGAACCTGAAGTTTAACAGTCTATGCAAGCCAACAGCAGTGTTGTATGTGTGGTGTCCTGGACACACTGCACGCACACACTGCTGTCACTGCGGTTACACGACGGATGCCACACCGCTGTGGTAGTGCCAATACAGCAGTTTCCGGTTACATGCACTACTGTCGAGTACCCGAAACCCGGTGTTCTGCCGGTGAAGTCGGCGTCACACGTACCGGCATTAATCGGGACCACCAATCCGGAACTGTGTACAAAACAGCAGTAGATTCCCCGCGTACGATAACCCAAGCAAATAATGTTGGGGGGGGGTCGGCGCAGCGGCATCATTTGCCTCTTGAGTCGCCCTATTCGCCACACCACACCGGTGGCCCCGGTGGTCTAGTGGGTAGCCTCGCAGCCTGCTTAGGGCCAGGTCATGGGTTCGAGTCCCGGCAGAGAGAGTTTGTTTCTCACTAAATTAATCCTGTTCTAGGATGAAAGCGACGCGCTGCGAAGCTCGTTTGTTAGTAAACCATAATCGACTTCGTAAGTCGCGAGGGAAGGGATTGCTGTACCCTTCTCGCGATAAAAATACCTCAGGCATGAACCGCAGGAGGGGGTCCAACCCCCCCTCCTATGTGACCCCGGTTGGGTCGTCTAGCTAGTAG